CCAGGTATACAACACGCGAGTAATTCGGGAAATTACGCAATTAGTTTTCAAATAATTACAAAATGTGGCCTGATTCGACGAAACTGGTATATGCATCTATAACGCATGGGATCGAGAAAAGTCAAAGAAAAACCTACGGCGAAAACTATAGCAAGCGGCAAGCTCAGCCGGAAACTTATTGCGTTCTTAGAACTTTGTTGTTCTTGGCTTGGTCGAGTGGCGGTAGATTGCTGATGCGGTGTCTTTTTTGTTCGTCAAACCATTGTTTAGCCATTTAGCAGTATTCAGAAGTGTTTCCTGGGTGTCTGTTATCTGGTTTCCCATCTTGACTTCAAAATTTACAATTTAGTAACAGTAAAATTTTTTTCACAAAAAATTTATTTCATAACATTCCATTTTTCCAAAACTTTGTATTTTCTCATATGATTTCATTAACCTAATATGAGGATACTAGATAAATAATATTACACTTTTGATGAATTTATCACTTCAGTCAACTGTTGCTAAAACAAAAGGCACTGCCCAGTAACGGTGGCGTTTTATTCAAAATATTGCATGCAACAGCAAAAAAAATGACCATTTTAATAGCCACACACTTTTTAAGGGTATTGCTGTCTCAGTCGAAGGAAATTAAAGCCGTCGAGGATCGCACTAGAATACCGGAGAACGGAAGGGAAAGTGTTATACATATGTGAGTTTCGTAATTTTATGTCACCAAAGCATACGTTTGTATGTGAGTATGTTTACAAATACAATTTACTAAATAACTAGAAACAAAACGAAAGAACTCACTAAAGATTCTTGCGTATGCAAGCAGTGAACAGTGAAACTGTCCAATAAACAGCAAAACCAAGAAGAAGGCTTGATTCCACAAATATAAGACCATACCTCAGAATGTTGCTTCCGCAGTGCGGAACATTTCTACCCAAGCTAAAGGCGTCAGCATTGGGAGCGTGTTATATGCTGACATAAATACCGACCCTCTTACTGGGTGTGCTTGTTCTTTTTGCTTAATTGTTACGTGTTTTGTTTTACATATGCGTGAAATTCTTGTTCTGTTTTGCTTTATATTTTCTATGTTTTTGCTTGGCGTTAAAAATTTGTATTCGGTTTTAACTTGCTTACGTTGTTAATTTCTCACACTTCCTACATAAATAATATTAACAGATGAATTATTCTTTCATCTACTCTTTTGAGTATAAAATATAAAATATTCAACATTGAGTAGCCTCTTATTGAGTGACTGACCAGTAAAAATTTAATTAACTCATTTCGTTTGGAAAAAAATTTAACTGGCAATACTTCTTAATCGACCTAGATGTGATTGACCCAAGTTTGACATAACCTTTTCTGAATTTTTCGGAGTTGGTTTTCTTATTATGTGTTGGTCAACAGATGCCGCTGTACTATTGCTTTGAGTCGACACTTGGTCTGAAACCAGCTTTATTCACCATTAGTATTTATTATAACATTACATATACTTACAAGTGAGATTTATATATTTTGAAAAGAGCGATTTTTTTGTAAAAATAGTTACACATCTCTGTAACCCTTGAATAGTTATAGAACAATTCGAAAAATATATACTGTGATTGTAAATACTCTGCTTCTCCATCTTAGTATTTTTATGTAAACTAAGTTTGAGTTCCTGAATGTAGAATTTTATGAAAGTGCCTTTCTAATTATTATTAATATTGATTTTTGTACTTTTACATTAATAAAAATTTTCACAAATTTTGCACTGAAACTCGATTTCAAAGTTCAAACATCATTTGTAGTATTCATTAACGACCTTCTGTTTATTTATATTTAAAAATTACAATTAAGAAATACTGATGCTACTTTGATGGAAGGTGTCAGCTGCGACTGCCACTGCCACTGTGGTTTCACAGTCACATGGATTCCTTCACCGTTTTGACAGATTCGATTATTATAGTAGGGGAGCCTGGAGTGCTAAATTTGCAGTTACTGGAGCGTCATGGAGACTTACAAGATTGTCAAGATAACGTTTAAAAAAAGAAAGTCTAGGTGAAGTTTTTCATTCTAATGGGGAGAAGAGCGGGTAATTAATTTGAAAAATGTAAAAAAAAAACAGTCACATAAAAATACGCAAGAGCGTCAGCCACTTATGGTATATACGCGCATTGTATTTCTGATATTTGATATATATTAATCTGGCAATCAATTCAAGGCGGAGGGCCGTAATGAGAGGTTATAAAAAAAATTAAATTACTCGAGCGTGTCAGATTTTCAAAGCGTATGTTAATGAACCTCTAAAAAGTGCGCCATTTTAATTTCTGACAATTTCGACGTGGCCAAAAGTCATGACTGATTTTAAAACTTGTAAAAACAAAAGGTGACCTTGAGATACTCGAGCGAGTCCAAATAGATATAAGTAATTTAAAAAAAAAAACAAGACAATTTTCGTCATTCGAGTCTTCGTCGAAGTTGGTTTCCACTTCTTGAACTCCTTGAAATTCCTCGTCATTTTGCATTGCTGTAACCGAGAATAAATATAAAACTTTAAAGATTTTTTACATCTTTTATGACGGTATAGTCTTCAAAAAAAGATTTGCCTCGTACGCTTCTCGCTGTAAACGGAAAAAAATTGAAAACACCACAAACAAACAAAAGTGTCAAGCGTCTACTAACAACAACCATGCTATGCTGTACGATTGACCTTTTGCTGACGATTTTACTTGTATCGCCCCATGGAAACTGTCAAATTATAAGATTTTAGTGATTCTGACAGAATTACCTTTAAAATGCAAAACAAAAAAAAAAACAAAAAAAAAAAATTATCGCGCTCGAGTATTTTAAGGTGACGTTTTTTGTACAGATCACCCTGCTATTTCTCTAAGTCACCCTCAATCTGTCAGAATATTGAAATATGCACTTGTCTTCATGTATTTAATTTACCATCTCTTAATCTGACGCGCTCGAGTTTCCCGAAGGATCGATTTTTTTTTCTCTAATCTGACGAACTGCCCCCAACGCACGCCTTCATCTTAAGGGCTCAATAAAAAGTTGCAATGTTTCTCCCCGTAAAATTTTCTGACACGCTTTAGTAACTGCAAAAATCCCCTCTTGGGCTCCCCTACTATTAAAGAGATTCTTAGATAAACACCTAAATATACTATATGAGCAAATTGTCTACAATGTGTTTTATTCTAAAAATACAACTTTAAAAACCGCACTTTTTTGGCCTCTGAATGATTCGACCCACTTAAATTATCATAAATCTGTTGCAAACATATCAATTTAAACTCATATTTCACAACATTTAGCGTTTACTTTCACTACCAACACCAAAGCTTACAGACGTAAACATGCCTGTACTACTACTTCTTATGTGTGTAAAGTGTTACATAGTATATGTGTATACACAAAAAATTTGTGCACTCATGGCCTATTCATTACACACCGGTCAACAGGTGCTTCAGAGTTGGTCAACGTGGTTTGGTTTGTTATCGTGTTTTTTGTTTTTGTTTCGAAGACTCGAATGGCACAATCACAGATACGTCTCTAGGTTTGTACTCGTATAGGTGTCCATGATTGGCATTTATTTCCATTATTCTGCACATTTCTATCCATAAATAATTTAATTAAATACCTTTTGGAATTGTGAAAAGTGAAATCAGTGCTATCCAAGCGAGTCAAGTCAAGTAGTGGACTCGGAGCTTTACTCTTGCATTTTTGCATTACAAAAGCATCATCGGCTTAGCCACATTGTCAACTGCTTTACTAAATAGCTATTGTCGAAGTGAAATGGCATTCGCATAATTCATTATAAACAGCGGAACTTTCGAACGATTTCTTAACTGTTTTTTTTGTTTTTTTTGTGAAGCAAAGGAAATTATGACACTGAAATGAAGCTAAGCGCTTACTAGTGCGAAGCTCTGCTTTCATTTTGATTTGTGCAGTGTGTACCATATTTACATAAGCTCTTAAACTTGTTTGTTTGTTTAGCCAAATTTCACCGCAATATTTGGAATTTTAATTAGATTTTCAATGCTGCTCAAGAAATTCCAACACTTTCATTAGATGAAAGTGTGATACCGACAGCGCCGTTGCTTATTCGTTATGACAAGCATATATGGAATTTTATTCAGAGAAATTGCATAATGCCACGAACACATGTGAAATTCATAGTTCAGGTGGCTGCAGACCACAGAATCAGTAGTCAGCTTATTTTATTATCATATATAATTTTTAAGCTGCAAACTTTCACGATTTCCCACAGACAAAGGCTAATTATCCATTTTTGAGGCTAAATTTGTTAATCGATTAATTAAAAAAATATATTAATTGAAATACTGTATTCACGAAACTAGTTTCAATTCGACATAAGAGCCGGTGAAAGTGTTAAAAATATGATAATTACTCATACTGGTACCGTTTCTTTGCTGAATATGCGTTGAATTTGCATTATTCTCCGATGATGGCTTCGAGAAAAGCAACATTTAATTCATTTTTTATTAGAATATAAACAGACTTCAAAAGAAGGGCTCAAATGAAATCGACTGAATTGGTTTTATAATAACACTGAAAATAAAGCATTAAACTCAGTAACGGCTAAACTTGGAGAGGTTACTGAACTTGCGTAACAGAAATTATAGGCCGCACTTTTACAGGGTATTTTATTTCTCCAAAAAGATTTTTTAAACCTTTCAAGCGCTAGAAAAGTACTTTCTTGCTCAAAGTTGCAGATAATTAACTGTTTTCATTCATGTAATCCTGAGCTGCTTACCTACTTGTAGTCTTGTAACTCACTCACTCGTACCGTTAAATCCTCAAATAAGCTCTCACTCTCAAAACATCTCCAACTCAATGTCCATCTCAAATAATCGTGAATCAAGTTTTTATTTTAGTTTTAAATTTTTTTTTGGGATTTTTATTCATATTTGAATGAAATGCATGCATGACAACGTGACATTAATGACATAAATACAAATACTAATTGTACAGTTTGCTTTCTATAATATTTTGTATCGTTTATTATTAATTTTTTTTTTTTTTTGTTTTGAGATTTTAGTGTATACTCTCAACATATTTACGAATACATCAGATATTCTTTGTCGGTTTATAGCATTTTAACATTTACAGTTCGTTTTACATTACGATTGAAAAGGACTACTTCATTTATCTCATTTTATATATATATGTTAAATATATATTTAGGTTTATGTAGATGTATTATACATATAAAGTAGACTCATTTAAAAAGGATAAGAATGAAATCGATAAATACTTAAATGACTATCATTATATTTATTGTGTAACTTGTGGATATTTACTAGCTCATTGATTGAGTAAATGAGCACTTAATGAACTCAGAAGCTGAGCGAAACAGATAGTAGTATAGATAGTGTGCGCAAGAGTGAAAGTGTGAGAAAATGTGAAATTAGTGGTGAGAAATTTGAAACGAAGTAGAGCAAGAGAGGTAGAATGTAGTTAAATGTAGCAAAGTCAAAGTAATTTTTAAGTAGTGAATGCTAGTTAGAAGAGGAAAAGATATGAGTATAAGATTTATGAAATTAGGAAAATGAAGATTGAGTATGTTCGAGAAATGTAACGAAAGAGGCTGAGTAGCCTGAGCATTTGAATGTGAGAGTGGTGGTAGAAAAGAGGATTATATAAATGAAAATAGTTAAAAGTTATGTATAGTTTTTCGGTAGTATGAAGGAATACATAGCGAAAGAGTTCAGAGAGATATAAGTTGGGTGTTAGAAAATGTGTAAGAAACGTGAAAATGTGAGGGGGCAGTTTAGTTCGAAACCTATGGCAAGTTATGGCGATTTTGATCGAAACTGTTAACTCCTTTGTAATGTATAGTAGTTAAAGAAATAGGATAGGAAGGTGAAGTGAAAAAAGTGAAATGCAGAGTTTTGGAATATTGAGGTTCAATTGAGTTTGTGCACAGACTTAAGAAATTAGATGTAGTACTTAAAGCATATTGAGTATTTTTATTTCAAGTAGTTGTATTATAGAGTTAAAAAAGTAATGGATTTTTTCGTTCCAAACTCACGCATTTTATAAGTATGTTTGTATGTTTATACGTAAGACTAGAATTTTAACTGAAAATATAGTATTACAATTAATAAAATTATATGTAGAGATTGTACATAGATTTGTAAGAGTGAGAGCTAAAGTAAGAATAGTAAAGCAATTTGTACAAGGGAAAGCTAAAGATATATTACGAAGTATTAAAGCGTAGCTGAAGTGTGGCAAGAATAGTCTCAGATAGTAGTTTTAAAAGATAGCATGACAGCGCCTCTATGGAGGCGAGAGAAAAATAAGTGAGTGAGAATTGAGTGAGTATCGAAAAGAGTTCTCTGTTGTGTGTGCGTTAAACTTAGCTGAAAGTGCTTTAAGTGAGAGCAGATTAGATATGAAGAATGGAAATGAAGAAAGTGTTGAAAAAATAGGAAATTTTAAATGTACTTGTGCTTCTAGTAAGTTTAAGTTGCGGTGCAAGCTTACTGGGGATGCCAGTACTCGAGACTTCAGAACTTGAGCTGCAAGTGAAAGAGAGGTGAAGTTAAAAACAATTAGTTGCACTTCGTGTGCTATTATGTATAGTAAGTGCGTGTTAATGTGTAGCTAGTAAGTATTCGCTGCGGCAGGTGTTAAGCTAGTTGATCTGCTGCTCGCCATCTTGCCAGGCAATCAGCACAGGTCAGCGCACAAAGAGCCGCCGCGCAAACTACCTAAATGCTAAAAGCAACTCCCTTTAAGCACTGCTAAGTGTTAGTTGTGCCTGCTGTGCAAAAAGGGTGAAAAAATTTTTAAATATATTAAGGTACCGACTTCGTCTCTCATTTTGTTTGCTAATTTTTACATAATCTTAAACAGTTTGTGTTTTAGCTTTAGCTTAAAAGAAAAATTACTAAAACAAAATAAATAAATTACTTTGTAGATTAAATATGTATACAAATATGTAATTAATTTAAGTTATAAAATGCACACACGTAGTTTTTTAGGTTTCAATAAACTCTTTTATATATATGCTTTTCTTTAGAGTACTTATGTATTCGTTGCTTTCATATCTTTAAATCATTTTTTCATATATTTACTTCGTGTATCCGCTGATCCAAAAGGTCAAGGCTACGAGTCGTTTCGATTTTGTGTCTTTTTCATGGATGTAATAGTATGTAATAAATTAAATAAATTAATTAGCAAATAAATTAATATAATTAAGATTTGTTTTGTTTAATTTTGTGTCTTGTGGCTTTCGTTCACGTTGTGTCTAGTTGGGCTTCGACTTTGGCAGCTGCGCTTTCCCAACGGTCGCATGCGTACATGCCGAAAGTTTAGAGCGGCCTTTTCAAATCTTTTTCGCTGCTTGCTGCCAATCGTATTGCCTGTCCACTGGTCCGAATTTCGTGCTAATCGTTGATGTGTTTGTCGTTGGGATTTTAAGCTCCAAATTATTCCCCTGCCAAATGTCATTGTACAGTCCCTTATTCTTCCCCTTAACTACAAACAACTTATGCCTGTGGCTTTTGGGCAGCATAAGCCAAGTCTTGAGCATCCAGTGAGCGTCCCCAGCCACCATGACCGGAGCTGCCGTATGAGCCAGAAGAACCGGCGTCGGCGCTGTAGCCGCTGCCGTACGAGTCGTGGCTGACGGAGTGGGATGCGCTGTGATGTGGGTGGGCGACCACTTCGTAGGTGACATGTTTCTCTTGAGACAACAGTTTCTTCAGACCGATCACAGCGGACAGCACCAAGGCGATTTTACCGATGAGCAGAGCCTTGCCGGCGATTAAAGCGATTGCGCCCAACAAGAGTGGCAACAGGGCGGCGGCTTTCAGTGCGACTAAAGCAAGAATGGGGCCCAAAATTTTAGCAGCCTTCTTCTTCTTGCCACGGCTCTCTTCGGGTGCATTGGGATCGTCATTACCACCGAACAATGATTCGGAGACATCTTCGAGCGCACGTCCAGTTGAGCTGACCGCCTGCACAATATCCGCACCCTTCAATTCGACCTTAATGGTGTGGGTGTTTAAGAAGCTTGAAATGCGGTTGAGTGCCAACGACTCGAATGATTCGTCGCCAGAGATGGAGCGTGCAGCTTCGGTGGCAGGTGCATCGGGCGAACGCACTACCGTTACACCTTCGGTCAGCGAGAACTGCTCGCGAGCGGAGAGCACTTTGTCGACGAAATTGAAGAGCTTATATTTGACACAAGACACCGAATCCTTTCGCAAGCAATCGCTGTAGATGCTATCCATGATGTCATTGTCCCCGCTAACTGCATTGCGCGCATGACCGCGTGTCTCCTCGGCGGGAAGTGCGGCAGCAACTGTGATCAAACACAAAACACCGATAGCTGCTTTAATTTGTGACATTTTTTCAAACACTTTTGTCTTATTTGTTTATGTTTTTAAGTCCGTTTTGACTTTTTGCGTAACTTTTGGCTTTCGATTTTTCGAAACTGTGAACTTAACCTTTGAACTTGCACACTTTTCGTCGAATGCACTTTCTCTTTTAAATCCAATTCTATTTTTGGTTCGTAATAAACTAAACGATATTAATCAATCCACACACAACAATAACGGGATCGTACGAAAAAAGCGCACCGCTCTACCACTTATGTCGCTGCTCGGGTTGTGTTGCCGTTTAGACGTGAAAGGATGAAATGATACAATTTTCCAATAGTCTCAACAATTTATATAGCGTCTACACTCTTCTTCAGCGACGTCAGCTGCGCGCACCAAGCACATGGCAGATGCAGCCACAAAAGGCGCAGTCGCAGCGGTAGCGTCAGCAGCAGCAGCAATAAGGCAGTAAGAGTGAGCGCTAGCCCCATACCAGCAACACCAAAGCTGCCGAACAGCCAAACAACCGCAACGATAGCGTAAGCACATACTCTCCATATGGCAACAGCGAAATAACAAAGCTGCCAGCAGCCAAATAGTATTTGTCCATTAAAGCATTTCGCATTTCTTTTTGCTGCCGCTGGCTTGTTGTTGCTGCCAGGTTGTGCTGCTGTTGCTCTTTTCACTGCCAACACAAGCATTGTCAGTGTCAAAGTGCTCGCGGTAGTGGCAGCGTTGGTAACAGCAACAACAACAGTGGCGGAGGTATTGCCAAAGCGAACGAAGACTGGTTCTGCAGGTTTCGCGCTTCAGTCTTTCGTTTTGGACTTAAACGCAGCTTCGCTTGCTGCATATGGTTTATTTTCAGCTGAAGTAAACTTAGTCCGTACATATGTATATCTGTGCACGTTGTTATGTATACATGCGGGTATGTACGTTCTCCAGCTGTGTGTGCTACCAGCCAAACAATGCCAAAAATTAAAATCACAACAGCAGCAGCGGCAACACTCGTACGCACTTTATGCGACGATGAAAAGTTGTTAGGTGTGAAAAAGTCGGTAGAAATCATTAGTGGCTCGCACGAGAAAACTGTGCTGGAAAATTATTAAAAAGCGCATAAAATTAAGCCAAAATAACAATTAACATTTCTTGCACACTGTTCCGAGCGATAGGTCAACTTGCCGCAACGAAGAGTGGTTTAGCGGCAAAAGCATGCAGCTGGCAAGTTCGAAAGCCAACTATGTAGAGTTTTCGAAATATTTTATTATGGTTAAAATTTTATGTGGTATATTGTTTGCCATTTAGCCATAAAAAATGAAAAGCTATTTCATTATGTACTCGCTGAACATTCGAACATAGCACGGAAAGACGGATAAACTTGCACAGTTATTCGTTTATTCCTGCAGAATGTCATTAAGGAGGCCTTTCTTGCAAAATCTTCCTCGATTTTACATTTTTATTCGATGAAATTAATCTATATTCAAGAACTTGAAATTCAAAAATGGTGAGGAAAGTTCTATGATCGCCATTCACTTGGGAGTGGCCACAAACTTTTATTTTACCTATGGCTCAAGCAGATCACGACTTCCGGTCTTTGACCAAGTATCTTCTGGGTAGCCTAAGAACATTCGTTTGACGGCGGGCTAAAGTGAGAAGGCCAAGCATCCCCTCCACAGGTTTGTGCGCTGGGTTTGGGACCCACCACGTAAAAAACAGTACCAATGAAAGCTAATCGACAGCCTCGGTTGAGACACCCCCCTTTTGATGATATTGTTAATAATATTAAATATTAATTGAAGGGATTTAGTGCGAGCGGAACCACGGGGATATCCACAGGTCTAATTTTAACCCTCAACGACAGTCTTTTCCACTGTTGTAAAATGAGTTCCAAATATATTCTTCATATATTTTAGTTGTTAGTTCTGTATATTTATATGTTTGATAATCTGTGATAGGGGTTCTTGCACAAAATTTTGGGCGACTCTACATGAATTTAAGGCATTCCATATCGCCCTGGCCCGTCCATAAGCCCTCTCGGACAGACGGTAATCTCATCAGCCATTTGGTTTCTCGAAGTTCCTTCACAGTTAATATCAAATTTGTTAATAAATAAGTTCCTAAACTGTCTAGATAAACAAGCTGGAACTTTGCAACGTTTTATTATAATTATTTAACTACATTTCGATAAAACACTGCATTCGAAATGCTCTCGACTTATTTGTTGTGCTCTTTCTAAAAATATCTGAAAAATTCTGTATTGCAAAACTTAACCATGTCATCAAAGACCTCGCTTAGATGCAATTCCTTTGACAACTGTCAGCATATGTTACTATTCATTGATATATTTCAAATATTCATAGTGGAATGCGAAATCCAACGTTGGAGCTCGAACAAAGTAGGCTATTTTGCTTATTGGGAATAAATATAGGTAAATGTGTACGCGCATGCGCGCTATTGCTTTCGCTGTATGAGCTATGAGAGATAGATGCGAGTCTTTCCATTTGCGGTTAACTTGAACGGGTGCGAGCAAATATGTTTGCAGAGTGTTTGGTAGCTGCTGTTCGGGGCTCACGGCCATAAGACGTACGCCACAAGCCGTAAGCCCCTCCAACGTGCAACATTCAACAAGTTCATGTAACATTGTCAGCTTGCGGTGACACTGACGCGTTTATAAATTTGCCTACAAATAAAAAACAAGCTATGGATTTATTATCGGCACACCCAGGCGTATTACAGTTGTTTTGAACACACTTGCTGTTATTGCTACTTTTATGGTTAACCAATATTTGAGTTTGTCTTGTGGTTTTCTACCAAACCTAGAGTGTGGCGTGTATAGGCCTGTGCGCATCAGTGGTATCTTTCACTCTTTATTTCATTTATTTTCCTAACACTTCTTCGAAGATATTTTTCATTCATTTTCAATGCATTTACATACGTCAACGCCGTGGCTGGCATCTAACTGCGGTTGGCACTTAGTGCGGTGCCTCTGAGTTCACACGTGTATTTGCAATATCCGCCCGTATGCTTAGCTGACGATTTCCACGTCCGCCCGCTTGGCGCTGTGCCTGTTTGCGTGTTGCCGGCTTACCGCCACGGTCAGTTAGTTCAGCAAATAAAAAGCATTTTACTATGGTCTTCAGTTTTTGTGGCGGCAAACCAAATTGCCATATACTTGTGTGTTGTCTGTGTGGTGACGACTCTGATGCATGCAACGCCGATGTTGCCTCTTTTGCATGGCCCTTGATCCATGAACAATAACTTAATTTGCAGACATTTTCTATAATTAATATTTTGAGTTGGCTTTGCCATTTCTCTTCTGGTCATAAATTCGCTGAAGTTGAGGCGTTAAAGATGCAACGAAACAGTTAAATATTGCTATTATTCATCTCCATACATATCTACATATAAATACGTAAATATGTACATATAAAATGATCATACTTTCATTTCTAAATTATAATAAGGTGTAAGGAAAGGTTAAGTATTTAGAGATAGTAAAATTGTGGAAGATGATCAATCATATAGTATGTATAGAGTTATCTTTGTATTTTCCTTTGAATGAAAATATGGCTTCATTTTCCTATAAAATATTTAGAGAGATAGTGGACTAGACAGCATAGTTTCTTCAATTTTTCGTTGTTATAATGAATCAATTTTTTATAAATAAAAGTATTAGCGTAGGTAGGGTCGCCTTAAAACCAATAATTTGAGAAGGATTGGATGAAATGCCTTTAAACCTTGGCATTATTCCAATTAGTGTTAGTGCCGGAAGATAAGTATAGAGAATAGTTTTACGAGTTTTCAGTCGAGTCGGTTTCAGTCCATGAGTCTTTTTGGAAATTTCGCCTGCTCCACACATAATACTGAATCATTGAAAAATATAATGAAGATTTGAAGAAGTGAACTGATACTTATTGCAGGAAAAAACAAAAAATAATTATAAAAATATTAAAATAAATTATTATTAATATATTATTTCTTTCTTTCTCACAATCGCTTATAATTACCCTGATTAACAAAGCGCAAATAATTGTTGAATTGGTTCATAAAGCATTTATGAATTATGCTGCACGCAACACCCGGCTGGTCATGAAATATAGGTATTAAGAAAAAGTAAACAAACTTTCATTCAGCGCACACCGAAAACTAAGCCAACAGGTTAGCAGCAGAAAGAGTAATGCGCTGTCACTGTCGGTGGAATTCGCTGGACGCAAGCCAACGAGTAGAATGACAAGTGGCGAGCACAGTGACCGATGAGAAATTGGAAAAGTTTTTCTTTTATCAAACAAAGTGCAATGACATGGTCATATCATACCTATATAATATATATATGCAGGCACTGCACTGCTGGTATAACTGCACATACATACATAGTGCTATGACCGTAAGTGAAACGGTTGATCGCGGTCATCGCCGGCCATTCCGAAAAAAAATCTTTATTGAAGATAATTTGCGCGATTATGAGCATGCTACGACGGCTATCGCCATTATTTTATTATCTGCTATATTTTTCAGAACTTTACATTTCCACACATGACATAATTTTATGTCATCAATGGCGTCAATTATATACATTTGCAGACAATAACATAAATAATTCCCTCAATCATATAAAAGTAGATGTCCCAAATACTTACATTCTTTGTAACGTAAAGTAAATAAAATTTTTTTCAAACCCTTCATCGATTAATGGCTAAAATCGGACCTCAATCACGCCTATTGCATATATGATACAATTTTAGATCCTATTTGATTCTTTCACCTTTCAGTGCACAAATCAAGAAGCAATTAATATAATGATACAAAATTTCGAATTAATACTTTAGATTCTGATCCTCTGCTTGACATTTCACATCTTAAGGTATTTCGCATAAATTATGCACCTTTCCTACGCGTGCAACTTGCCCGAAGTCAGAGTTCTCTGTAACCGTCACTATCGAGAGAACAGATGCTACCTCAACATAAAGATTTTGTTAAGTAGGCTCTCCTTCTACTTTACCTATCCGCCGTATCGCTGTAAGTATCATTGTGCTTCCTGACAATTTCATAAACTCGTCAATATATTGGTACGTAGTCGAAAAAGTCTCTTTGTATTTTGCCAATAGATGTCTTGCAGTCACATATCTCCAGTGCTACCAATCACATTGTGTCATACTATAAAGTGTTAGAAAGTTGAGATTTTAAGCTTCATTTAATCAAAAAAGTTAAATTCGAGGAAGTTGAAGAAAGTTACAGCTGTTCAAAAATGAGTGAAAATAATGATGAGTTCCGCTATATTTTGAAATTTGTGTATAAAAAAGGGAAGAATTCCATGCAAGCTACTAATTAAATTT